GCATCCAAGACCAGTCAGAACATGTCTCATCTCACACGCATGGGAAACACTTCCACTGGTTCCACCTTAGCCCAGTGTGCAGTCAGCAAGCAGCCTGTACCCAGACCCCAGCCACTGGACCTCTTCACTGACAACTTCCTGTCACTGGCCGACTCCAGGAGCCGACCGCGCTGGGTCCTCCACCAGCTTCTCTATAACTGCCCTGAGGATCCGAAAACTGCTTTGCTTTATTTACTCAACACACACATTATGTAAAATAAAGACACATAATACAACCACCCAGTGCTACCATCCAAGGTAAGGGTCACGTCACTGACACATTTCCTCCTAGAGAGAAGCATGTTCCCACTTCTCGTACTCTGTTGTTCTGACCTCCTGGTGATCCTTCCGTCGGGGCACAGCTCACACTTGTCAGGAGCAGAAAGAAACTCCAGAGAGGCTCCACACTGTTACTCTGGCCTGCTCTTACTGTCCTCCCCACACCTCCCCTCCCCCATTGAACTACCACCCACAACTCTGCAACCACACTGGCCTCCCAAAGGACCATCAGGAAGAACCAAGGAGAAACGACCACAGGTGCTGAACCTCTGCACCGAGGCCTGTACCTGCCGCCGCTGTTCCTGTGAAGTCCTGGCGGTGTGGCCTGGCGCGGCCCCAAGAGGCAGAGGCTGTTTCCATGCCTAGAGCACAGAGATCAACCTGCGCCTCCGATCCCCATCACACCAGGAACGGAGGGAAGGCCGTTGAGTCACTGTAGCCGGGGCCAAGCTGCCTCGGATGCACCTGTTCGACAGCTCACCCAGAGCCCGGTGAGCAGCAGAGGGGGCCACCTGGTCGCCCTTCCCCAGCAAACACAGAGCTCACCTCATGGGACTGCCACAATTGACTGTCTTGTTCTAACATGGGAAACCGACTGGAAGAAGGGGGTGGGGATGAGGGCACAACATTTTGGTCCCTCCTGTGTGTCACTAATACTCACAGTTCTGAAAAAGGAACCACCTTATCAGAAGGAGATTAACTGTAAAAACTGCCTGATAAGGACCCTGAGCAGCAGGGGTCAGGTGACGGCTGGCTCCACTCCCAGGTGCTGGGGGGCGGGGACAGAGCCACGAGACTGGGCGGCACAGAGGGCTCTTGGCCTTCCTTGGTGTGAGAAGAACTGTGACAAATGCCACTCTCTTGGGGAAATGGAGTTGGTGCCTCAATCGCAGTGTTCAGCAACAGAAATACAGGGAAAAAATGAGACTTTAGTTCAAGACCTTAAATCTCCTCCAGTAAGTAGCAGGCATGCCCAGTCTTCTCTCCCCAGGCGCTAGGGCCCAGAGCCATCAAACTGCCTCATCGCGATGCAGTTTACGTTGTCAGCACACATTCAACGTCTGCAGTGAGCTCACGGGCATGCAGCTGTCGACACAACACACTTGAGAACATTCTTCACCCCCAGAGACTCCATCCGCACCAGCAGTCACTTTCCACCTCTGTCACCGGCTCAATGGGACGTCACCATCGAACAGAGACATCATCACTGCGGCCCCTGCTCGCACGGCTGTTTCTTTCCTTTCACCCTGTGATGTAAGTTACCGAATGGACGTCTAGGCCCACGCACTCTGCTCCGTAGGACAACACTCGTGCATGCGCAGGGTCAACGGTCACGACAAACTTCGTGACTCAAGACGTCAGTGTGTGGGAAATGGTACCCGAGCACCAGCACCAATGCTGCGCGGTGTGAGTGGACGCGTCACAAGACAGCAGAGACCAGTGTCACTGACGCAGGGATCATGTGAACCATCTGCACAGCCAATAAGTCGACGTGGCACCTAGTCACAAGCAACCAGAGCCCCCGAAGGGGGAATGCAGAAGGAACACCTGTGCTGCACCCCTTCTGTGCGGCCTCCGGGCCAGGAAGACGCTGTGCACGCCCGAGGAGCCTGGGCAAGCCCAGCAGGCCGCAGCCTCTCAGACGGGGAGAGAAAACGCTTTTGCAGCAAAAATGAACGGAGACCGGAGGAACCTCTTTCCTATAGTCCTTTAGCTTGGAGACAGAGAGATGAGTCAAATGACTTTTTAAAACCATGACTCAAATTTTAACTACTCGCTCAGTTTAAATTTCTAACCTCCAAGGACGAGGCCAAGTTAACTCGCTGAGAGCATCACACTAGTAGGAGTAACCTCCTGCTCATGAGACCCCCTCCTGGCTTGCAGAAGTCGCCAGGTGTGGTGTGTGGGACTCAGCAGGGACTGACCTTATCCTGACCTAGCAAATCGGAGTTGCATGTGGGCTGGTTGGGGAAAGAGCAAACATCTACTTTCTTGTGCAGAAAAGATGTTTAAGCCACTTCTATAAAGAAAAGAAAGTCCACCCACAAAAAGGAAGAGAAGATTCAGGGCAGGGCTGGGGGAGCGGAAAGGGCCCGTGGAGCCAGAGCCAGAGGGTCAGAGGCCAGCACTCTCGGGCTCCAATATTAGTCATGGGAACTGTTTACATTGTTGCTAAGGAAAACTTAGAGCTTTGGAAAATGAGCCCAAGCTCCGGCGTGACAGCTGCGCACGGCCGGGGTCCCTGCAGAGTTCCCTGCTGCCTGCTTGCCGTTCCTATCCTGCCAATCAGGTGGCCCTGGTCTCTGGAGTCCTCAGAGCCAAGTGGGCTGCAGGACAGCAATCCGGGAGCTGGAGGCAGAGTGACGGTCCAAATCCAAACTTCCATTCTTCCATCTCAGAGAAGTGGTCAGCGAGCTGGAGCAGGAGGGGCGTGCCCTCAGGGCCTCAGCACTCCCACCCTGGTGGCTCCTCGCTTCCACCTGGTACTGAGAACGCCTGAGGGCACTCCAGCTTTTCAGGATAAAAAAAGAAACTTTGCAAAGCCAAGGTCGTGGCCTTGAGAGAGGGCTGTTGCAGAAGTCTTGCACCAAGCTTCCGTGGCAGGAACGTAACTTACTGGGAGCCCTGCCAACCTCAGATCTCGACTGTTTACTCCTCAGTGCGGAGAGCGTTCTCACAACTCACACCACAGGAGACTGTTGTCCTGGAGTTAATTTTCTTCAGGCTCTTCTGCCCCCTACCCCATTATAATGGTAATACTTTATCACTCTGGAACTTTGGAAAATGCAGGGGAAAAACAAGAAAAGAAAAATCACCCACAACCCTCAGAACCACCCACTGCTGACGTTCCCGTGTGTGTCACTGGGTGTCACCACGTCCCCTCAGTACCTGCCCCATCCAATGGACACAGCTCAGCTCACATCCCCGGTGACAACCAGGAGTGAACAGAGACTGGCCACTGTTCTCAGAGAAGGAAGCTGTGCAGGGTCCACATCGGGCTTGCCCCAGTCCACGTGTTCCCATTACACTGCGGATGGGAGCTCATCTCTCGGGTGGCTTGTCCATGGGCTAAGTCTGGCTGGGGCCAATTTTAAAGCCCCATTTACCCAGTGGTCACTAACTGCTTCCAACTGGACCTAGGAACACAGGCCTCTGCCATGGATTCCTAGCGCGAGTCACACAGTGCTGCCACCACGCGCTGATCACCGCGAGAGGTGGCTTCAAGGAAAGAATTAGAGCCCCGCAGGCTCTTTTGGAAAGAAAATTCAGCTATTCTCAAAACATGATTTTTTTCTTTCAGCTTATGTTTGTCTAGAACAGCGGTTCTCAACCTGTGGGTCGTGCCCCCTTTGGAGGTCTAAGGACCCTTTCACAGGGGTCACCTAAGACCACCGGAAAACACATATTTCCGATGGTCTTAGGAACCAGACACCACTCACTCCCCTATTGTCTCCAGGCGGGTCCACCCACATGCAGACACACCCACACACAACAGGAGGAGCTGTATTAAAGGGTCACAGGCATTAGGAAGGTTGAGAACCACTGGTCTAGAGGGAGAAATGAAATGGTTTTAATTTTGTAACAGCTTGAATGACACGTGTTCCTGGATGGACACACCCAGGCCCACAGGGAGCACAGCTCTGCCCGCGCTCCGGCCTGCAGAACGGTCCTTCCTAGGTGCCGGGGAGAACAGAACTAGGCCATGGACACGGGCATTTGAAAAGCGCTGTTGGCTCTGCAACCTGTGAGCCCAGAGTGAAATGTCTTCAGTTTTCATGTAAAGAAATTTTTAAGAAAAGGAAGAACGAGAAAGAAGAAAAACACTATTTTTCAACTTACTTACTTAACATCTCCCTCCCACTTCTCATAATGCGTTTTAGAGTTATCTTTATGATAAACACCTAAAAACTTGGACTGGTTGTATCTCATACGATTCTCAAACTTATTTCACATCACTACACACTCACAAAATAAAACCTTCCTCTGAAATTCAGAATCAAATGAAGTCAACTGGAATGTACATTCTGATGAGATGTCACCTCTTTCTAGTCTGAAGAAAGGGGAGGACCGTGGCCTCCGCCAGGGGCCATGGCGCCGTCCCCTTGGCCACACCCTCCCAGGCCTTGGAAGGCCAGCTCCTCCAGCTTCTACCCGGAGTCGCTCCTGTGCCGCCCACGGCTGCTCCTCTCAGGGCCCCGCAGAGCCTCTGACACGCGGTGCAGTCGCCATCCCGCTACCATGCCGCCCACACAGTCTGCATATCCTGTTCTGGGATTCTTCTCAAATTAATTAAAACTATCCTTCCTCGATTTCTCTGAGCCTTTTATTTCATTCTTGCCTTTTTTAGCTGCCAGAGTCATCACGGATGACCCACAACAAAACAGATGGTCCTTCTCTGTGTCAGGTTCTCCATCGCAAAGTGGGGAACACGGTCTGACAATGATCTCATAAGACAGACAGAAGGAAGACAGCCTGTCTCCATGACATAATAGGCATCTCTATGAAATAATCAGTAATACTTTTGATCTTCACTGAAAATCTCCCTGAGGCAAAGTCCAAAACCCAAACTGTAATATACAGATCTATTTTCATAAACATATTTGAGACTGGAAAAGGCGTCACCCCCACCCCTCCCCCCACCGCACGGAGAACCCTGCCAGTGAAACCAGCGTGTGACACACCTCCGTCTCTCCCTGGCTTCCGCAGAGGAGTCCGTCCCAGGCGTGGACAGCAGAGTGGAAGCTGTGACCCCGTTGGCAGTGCTCGGCAGGGGGCGATTGGTGATCACACACAGAGGGGTGCTCGGAGAGACACTGTCTGCTTTCTCTGCCGTGGAGTCAGCGGGGGACTTGTGAGGAGTCCTGAAATCAGAATGGATGCGGCAGAGAGAGGGTGTTCAGGCACGTGCACCACAGAGCAGAGAAGAGGGTGCGCAGACTGGCCAGAGCGTCTCTTCTCGCTCAGATTTTGTCTGTTGGTTGATTTTTAATTCTGAGCTCTTAAATCTTAGAACAGTGTGAATACACATTCAATCTGACATCTTCTGCCTAAGGAGTAATGTTTTATGAAAAATATGTTTTTGCTTGAGATTAAAATTAAAAAAAAAAAAAAAATTAGCTATGGCACCAAGCGAGGCAGTGACGTACGCGGAAGAGCTTGAAAGACCCGCAGCACCGCCTGGTCTCCGCGTGCAGAGGCAGCCGCCTCACACCTGAAAACGACCTGCAGTCGCTTACTCGTCCCCTCCCCTGCTCCCAGTCCTTGACAGTGAGCTTGGCACAGTCCTCAGCCTGGATAGTGACCGGCCCCTGGGACTGTGCAGAGATGCCCGCTAAACTGTGACCCCGGGACGGTCAGCCCACCCACCCCCAGCTCAGCAGCTGTGTTCTTTCCATTTAGCCAAATGCCTGGCCATGTGTGTTCACAATTGCACACAGGAGAATCAGAACACAACGGAGAGGGTTCTGTCTGTAAACTTAACTGCAGGCTTCCAGCAGACAGACCTGTAATTACAGTCATGTACACAAAACAAGATCTTTGTTTCTCAGCGAAGAATGAGACCAACCACTGACTCTCCACCCAAAAAGCTGTTGGTGGCGATGTCACAGCTTGTTGCTGTGGTAACAGACCCAAACCTGACTCACAGAGACAGACAGAGCAATGGATGCCGCCGATGCTGACGAGCTGTTTTTCTCACCTCCTCACAACGACCAGACATGCCAAGTAGCTATAATCTCACTTTTTCTTAAATACACTTTTTCTTTATTGATTTTAGAGAGAGAAGAAGGGAGAGGGAGAGAGACAGAGACATCGATGAGAGAGAACATTGACTGGCTGCCTCCTGCATGCCCCACACCGGGGATCAGGCCCACAACCTGGGCATGTGCCTTGACCAGGAATTGAACCAGCCACCTCTTGGTGCAGGGTGGACGCTCAACCACTGAGCCACGCTGGCTGGGCTCTAAAAGCTCACTTTTAAATAATCACATTATTAGAATAAGCTTAAAACAAATAATCAGATTCTAAGAGTCCAAACATGGTACTTAGACTCGAACATAAAACAGACAGACTTGGAGTGGGATCAAAAGAACAAGGCAAAATGTGTCTCACTTATTCTTTTATTTTTTATTTATTTATTTATTTATTTTTACTATCCTCACCCGAGGGTATTTTTCCATTTTTTGTACAGATAGAGAGGGAGGGAGAGAGAGGAAGGGGGAGAGAGAGAGAGAAACATCGACGTGAAGGGACACATCGAATGGCTGCCACCCGCACGACCAACCAGGGCCGGGGACAAACTGCAACCGAAGTACGTGCCCTTAGCGGGAACCGAACCCGGGTCTCTCCGGACTGCAGGCCGACGCTCTAACCGCTGAGCCAAACTGGCCAGGGCTCACTTATTCTTTTAAAACTGGGGCGAATAACTCCTCAGACTTCAAGATGTCCAAACAAAGTACTAATAAAATTAGGCAGAAGGAATGCTCTAAAAAATGACACTTATCGAAACCTTCCCTGAAATTCTTTTCAGGTTAGTAACACGTTTTGGTCTCTCTGCAATTTCTCATGCTGTAGAAATGGCAAGGATTTTATCTTATTACATGATGGAATAGGACTTCCACTGTGACTTTGAAATGTGGTATAATTTTACAAAGAGGGTGTTACGAAAAGCTCCAGAGCGAGGATCAGAGACTTTGGGGTGACTTCAAGGCTAAATTTCAGCCAACTTAACCTCTCTGATCATCATCTGTAAGAGGACCATGGTACCTTAAAATGCAGGGGTCTCGTGATGACTCAATGAAATACAGTGTGCAGAACACTTAGTGTGGGGCCCAGAATAAAAACTCCATTGAAACACAACAGCACAACAGACAGGAGCTCCGAAACGGGAAGCCTGGGCCCCACCCTCTGCAGGGCCACACTCAGTGGCACCTGGGCAGAGGCCCATGCTGGCCCCTGGGTCCTCATCTCGAAGAGGAGACTGCCGTAAGTGACATCTTGCTAAGGTGGCTAGCTGCCGAACCCATACTCATTTCCCTTTTCTTCCTGACTAACAGAGCCTGTATACTATTGAGGGCAACAACGAATCTGGTTAAAAAAAATCCACATTTTCTGAAGTCTCCTGGGCTGCTACAGGTAGCCAGTGAGACATAGAGGAACATGAGTGCTTCTGGGAAAAATTCTCAGTTCAGAGGCATCCTTCTTTGCACAGTCCCCCCTTTTCTCCTTCTTCCTGCCTGGAATGCAACCATGATGGCTGAAGCTCTGGCAGCTATTTTGGACCATGAGGCAACCAATGAAAATGGAAGCCATGATCTAAGGGTTGTGAAGTGAAAAGAAGAAACCCGAGCCCTTTAATGACTTTGGAGCCATGTGCCGTGTGCCAGCCCTGGTCGTTTCTGGACTTTCTTAAGTCAAAGAAAAACAAAACAACAAAAAGAACCGTTACCCTATTGAAGCCATTATTATCTGAACTCACTGTTACGTGTGAGTGAAGCAAATCCCAATATAATTTCTGTGCAGTGCGCAACCCAACACCTGGCACACAACAGGCCTCAACCAAGGCAGCTGCTGCTTTTCCAGGCCCGGCTCTGAGCACTCAGTCCAGGAACTTCCCTGAGGTTCAGTTTCCCCCTCGATGGGGATGATGTTTATGACGCCTGTGCAAATACATCGCTATGACAACCCCATAAGTTTCTACATAATTATATGGTGCTATTCTAAAGAATCCACCCTAAGCCTGTCCCTCCTGGAGAGTGGACGGTCACCACACACTTCAGGGAATGAGCTGGGAACTGCTGAACGTCCGTCCAGCACCAGGTCCTGGCAGCAGCAGCACCACCATTATTTCATTTTCTTTGTGTTGGCTGCAGAAACAAGACCCCAAAAAGGAGTCCCTCTGCCGTACCCCAGAACAAAAGGTGTCTGACCACACCAGGGACTGAAGCCCAGTTAAAGCCACAGTGATGTCCTCTGTGCTTTCACAATGACACTCTGCGCCACCCCCAGATGACCCAGAATCCCAGCAGATACTGCCCAGGAACAGGGTTAGACCAGCACCCATCTCTCCCTTCCTGCAGCACTTCCAGCAAAACACTCCTTGGCTGAAGAGTTTTCAGAAGGCTGTAGGGCTTTTGAGACAAGAATTAGCTTTCCTTCTGATCTGGTTTGTATGCCACCTTCCAAAGAGATTAACGAAAGAGTCCAACTCATAAGAGCTGGAAAATCCATATAAATGAAACATGGGAGTATTTTTGGTGTGCGATTTAGCACAACAGTAGGACCCTTACATCACAACCACGGCTGGTAAGGTGACTGAGGGACAGAAGCAGTCACTCCGTGGGTGCTGGACCCCGAGCACGAAACACACAGCTATGCTGTCCAACAGGCAGCTGCTGGCTGCAGGCGACGCCACAGCAAGAGCAGCCTCACGGGGGGGGGACGCGCCTCAGGAGCTCTGCTGCTTCTGCGGTGACGGCCCCCTGGGCTCCCATCTCCCGAGCGTCCAGAGGCGCCCGCTGTGATGGCCGTGACCACGTGGCTCTAAGAGGCCTTACCTGCATACGGTGCAGGTGCGCAGTGTCTGCACTGCGGGGCGCAGCGCAAGAGGAGGCAGGCTGCTGCCCGGCAGGTGGAGGAACCATGGTAGTGGGCGAGGCAGCAGGAGATGAATTGCGAGTGGCTGAAATGGAGGGACGTGTGGGGCCACTACTCCTAGCAAAGGAAGCACTGAAAGACACACACATCGCGTTTCTCAGGACATGCTGCCCACCCACCACGCCCAGCACCTCCTTCCCCCCAGTGTGTCACCAGAAGGAATGCAGGACAGAGAGGGCACTGCACTGGAAGAGGCGGGACCAGCTAGAGCTGGCCACTGGCAGCAAGCAGGTGCCTGTCAATCACCCAAGGAAGGAGGAACGTGGAGGGCAGGCCATATGCGACCAGAGAAAGCACATGGTGGGGTGAGGCCAAAAAAGGAAAGAAGAGGAAATAGAATCATTTTGTTAGAAAAACCAATGCCCAATCAACCCTGAGGCAAAAGGTCATGCACCACTCCCACCCACCCAGTGTCCACCTGTTACAAAAGTAGCTCGAAAAGGCTGAGGAAGACCAAGAGTCTGGAGAGTCTGGAGCAGACACTTCAAATGAGAGTGGATTAGAGTCAAGAAGCTCTGTGTATAGAGCGCCTCTGTGTGCCTTTCAAGCTTTGAGCCTCGAAAGCCATACTGGGTGGGCAACACCAAGACAGCTTTTCTACTTCAACTGAATATATGTTAAGAACCATCTCAATCGCAGCATTATTTGAGTTAAAAATTTTTAAAAACCTTGTCTATGATAGTCGAGACAGTTGAGGGAATGACCAAAAAAAGCTATGAAACTTCTTCGAAACAGATGCATTTTTTGGGCCAGGAAAAAGGACTTTCTGCCTGCAGACAAGAGGTGACTAGAACCTGGGAAGCGTGCTGAGGCTCGGCCCAGTCCAGGTGAGAGAGTCTGCTAACACTTGTCTTTCAAACAGAGGTGGCGCAAGATTCTTTGCTTTTGAAAAGACCCTAAGATTTTTGTAAATTCTAAAAGGGCTTTAGGGTTACAAGAGAGAAGCTTTGAAATCCCAATGAAGCACATTCTCAATCTTTTCTCAAAACGTGCCCCCATCAGGAAGCCGGCTCCCCAGCCCCAGAGGCAGCCCTTTCTCCTCCGCTCACCAGCTATGTGCAGTGACCTCGAGCAAACCACACTGCTCCTCACTCAGCGTAGAGCTGACACCCTGGACTGTCACGGAGCACGACCCGCCTGAGCATTTAATGGCAGCCCCCTCCGTCCTACAGCTACATGATGTTCTCAGAAAACCCAGCCACAAGCAGGGACGATGCATCTAGCTTGGCTGGCGCCTTGGCCTTGAAGACAGAGGGGCTGGACTCAGCAAGCCGAGGATGCTGAGTCTGTGGGACAGCACTAGGGAGACCAGGGGTAGGCCGAGCCCTTCCTTACAGGGTGTCTCCGCAGGGCTGGAGACATTAAAAGGCAACAGCGGCTGTTCGTCTTACAGCGCACATGTTCCAACATTAACTAGTAGACAAGATTCTTCCAATCAAATAGAAATGAGTGTTGATCCCAAACATAATGTAAGACCACAGCCCATGTCTCCGCTGGCCCAGCCATCCCTAATCCACCTGCTGTGAGGGTCACAGCACGAAGAGGCAGCTGAAGTGAGCGAGCAGAAGACAATTCAGAGTGAGCGATGGGACTCGTGCCTCCACATCAGCAGCCAGTTCGAGCCGAAAGGCTAATTACGGATCTGGCAGCGTGGTGGCTCTGGCAGAGGTGCTCCGCTTGCTGGCTGGCACATGGCAGAGAAAGTAAATGCAGAAGAGGAGATACAGAGGAGAAACGGGAAAGGAAGCCCATGTACCTTCTCTGCACCAAACTTGCGAGTTTCACATCTCGATGGATCTGAGGGCCATTAGTCATAAAAAGAAAACAAGAACTCAAGTCCTAAATCGACAGGCTTCAACATGGGACTTCAACACACAACTGCCCTGACTCCCCCTCACCACCCTGCAGGGCACCCCTCCTCCTTCAAAACCAACTGCGATGAGCACGCTGTCCTTTCAGACCCAGGGCAGCCAGCCACGGGCCTGCTCAGCTCCTGTGGCCACAGCTGCTAGGCGGTTTAATGGGGCCCAGAGAGTGCAGTGTGGTTCAGGCCTGGCTGTGGTGAGAATCTAGAATTAGTTTACTTCAATTCAGTTAAGAAAATTAATTAATTTTGATTTCAAATCAAGTGTTCCTCCCACGAAATTTAAAGTAATCACTTCCTGACTCATCCTGTGGTGCTCGCTGGCTGTCATCTGCAGTCACTGCCTGCACGACTGTGGCCGCAGTGGGCAGCTGCCTCCCGCCCGCGGAGCCCGGTACCTTTCCAGGTAGGTGGACACGTAGGTGGAAGGGACGACGGGCTGTGGTGCTTCGCTCCCCCTGGCTTCGTCCCTCCGCTGCCGAGTGTAGGAGCCGCTCCTCACCAGGCTCACAGCCGACTCTCTGGAGGAAGAAGAAACCAAAGCAAAGACTGACCTCTACCCGAGCGTCCGCCTGCGACACCGCGACCGCAAGGAAGAGCCAGGGAGCAGCACGTGCGGGGCAGCCGGGCCTCGCTGCCTGCCTCGCTCCTGTCCTCTGTGCGGAGGGCGAGCAGGGCCACGTCTGCAGCCCATTCTCAGCTTTGGAGCCGGCTCGTCTCAGCCAAGGCCCATGTCCAGGCCTGCAACCCTTTCCCCAGAGCTCTCTTCTGTTCCTCCCTCACAAAGCTTTGCAGATCCAGCCCCAGTAGGAGGCAGAGAAGGGTAGGTGAGGAAGATGTCACAGGGAAAGAAGAGAGAAAAGGGCCTGCTGCAGCGTCGTCAGAGCACCAACGAAAGGCACCTGGGAAAGGGCTGAGGCAGTGGTTCTGACCCAAACTGCCGACTCCAGCCTTCGCTACAAGCCGTCACTCCCGGCTCGCATGTGCACTTGAGTCGCCCATGGACTGCCGTTAGGGTGAAGATTCCAGCTCAGCGGGCCTGGGTGGGGCCTGAGAGGCTGCACTTCTGACATGTGCCCAGGTGATACCCGGAGGACTGCACCTGAGACACGTTCTAGGTCAGGTTCCACTCTGAGACTCAGTGATGCATTCATTTTAACTGATAAGACAGAAGGTTTATCTACTCACAAACTAGAAGCTGATCAAGTCAATGAAACAGCAATGTTGTTCGTCATTGCCCTGAGTGGGCCTGTGGTAGGCACCAGGACACTTGAGAAGCCGGAGACCCTGCCATTCCAGCACCTGCTGCAGACGAGCCCACCAGGGAGGGGAAGGTGTGGAAAGTGTGCTCTCAGCCTCACTCGGTTACCTGTTCTCCTTCTCTTCGGCATCACTTGTGCTGCTGAACCTCCGGGGGGCCAGTGAGCTAAAGTAGCTTTTGTTTTCTCTCTCCTGTAAAACCAAGACAGGTGACACACAGGCAGGCACCCCAGACACAGTGATCAAACGCTCATGGTGGAAAAGCAGAACCTGATACCCCCGCACCATCTTATTTCTCGTTGCAGTCCCAATCCAGGTGGAGTGGTGTTATGAAGGGCTAGCTCTCAAATGCTTATTCCTAAGTTTTCTCCATGAAAAACCAACATGCAAGGAGATGGTGCTCCCGGGAAAAGCCAGGACAATCAGATAAGAAGAGCTGTCGCATGGACCACACAAGCAGCAGTGGAGACAGAAAGGGCTGCTCCCATCCCTGAAACCAACCCACCGCTTCCCAGCCCGGGTTAGGGGCAGGGGCAGGGCTCCGAGGGAGACTGCCAAGGGTCTGGAACCAACAGAAAGGGAGACATGCTCATATGGGCCGATGTGCAGATGGCCACTTGTGGACTCAGCCTGACCACACCCACGAATGAGAAGAGGAGACAATGAATCCCACCTAATGTGAATCTCCCATGAGCTGCAGCCACGTGGAAAGCCCAGCTGAGGAACCTGGCTTCCAAACATTGAAAAGTAAATTACTAGTACTGGTTCAGGAACCTTTGGGGCTGTATCAAAGCTTTCATGCTTCTGACTCACTTCTTCCCACAGTAAGGGGACAAGGAGGGATGAGCGTAAGCTATGCCAAAAGGAAAAGGGTTTTCTTTTTGCTAACCAAATAACAGCGAGTGAACAGCTCTTGATTAAACCATCCACATGCTGGTCTCCCAGAATCAATCAGGGCCAGAAAACACTTTCACTTGTCCTGAGAGTGAATTTCTCAGGAGGAAACTACCTTGGAGCCGTGCTGTACCTTGTCCCTGTTGTCCAGCAGAGCGGAGATTCGAGGGCTGGATGCCGAGCGGGAGAGGGCAGAGCCCCGATCCCTTGCAGTTTCCCGGGTGTCGGCCACCGCACTCAGTGTGTTGTGGCTGCCAGTCTTTCTGAGTCCCAGGCGCCATGAAGAAGGAGACTCATCTTTGGGCTCCTCCAGCTTGTTAAAAAAGCTGGCGAGCTGCAAAGGAAGAAGGAAAAGGAAAGAAGGGGTCTGATAACTCCTCCAGTGAGGAGTACAGTGGGCCACACAGGCTCTTGACTAGGCTCCCGTCCTGCCTGCAGATGCCACGCCCTTCAAGACTGCCTCTGTCCCTGAGCCAGAGCCTCAGACTCTCAACACAGCTTCCCTGATGAAGCTACTCTGAGAAATCAGACGCATTCCTGTCTCTGGGCAGCAAGCGTCAAGCTCAGATACCCAAGATCCAAGTCCTAGTCACACCTCTCTCAACCTGCTGTGTAACTGAAAATAGGACACTTGCCTAGGTATCAACATGCCCAGCTGAAAAGCGGGGGTATAAACTTCCTCCTGACCCTGAGCCGAGCCCAGGTGTGTGCATGCATGAGGTGCTGAGATTGGACGTGGTGCCTGATTTAAGGAATTACTAGTGAAAATCTGAAAGGCCTTGCACTCCAGTTATAATTTCATTTCAAGGAAACAGTTATTGGATCCAGCACCATCATTTCATTTAAAACTTTTAACCATCATAAAGAAGCTTATGAAAAGCTTACACTGTCCTCAATTATGTCATTTTGCCGTAAACCACAGAGAACGTCAGAGTGTTGGCCCAAAGACTGTCTAGGGTACAGGGTCTTCCGAATGCCAGCTGACCGTCTCTTCCCGGTCCCCACCCAGGCACCAGGCCCCATTATTGATGGGACAGTGAAGGCACAATAGAAATGCAAAATCATTCGTCAACAGCTTCATTCCAGAGAACTTGGATCCATTCTCCATCTCAAAACTAGAGCAGCCTTTGTTGGTCACAGATGGTCCCCCAACAGGCGTGCACAGCACAGAAGAAGGTGCTCTTGCTACCTCAACAGGCTTCTTCTACTGTGCGCTCTACTCACCACAAGCTAGAAAGACTATACTCGTAAAAGAAAAATTTAAACCAAAAAAAAAAAGGGAGAGTTGTCATCAAGAGTAATACTGGATGTGAGGTGTCTTCCTGGCCCAACCTTAGCTCTACATATCCTTACCTTCACCTCAGGTATGGAGAAAATAGGCAACCGACATTTTTTTTTTTGGCCCCAGGCTACTATATCCTGTATTATCTAAGTATAATGTAGCCATTTTGTTTGGCAATAGTTTTATGGCTTTTGTGGCACTGTTGCCAATGCAACATTTGTGTCCCTCTCCCCCCTCTGAAATTCGTGTGGTGAAGCCCTAACCCCTGATGTGACTATACTGGGAGATAAGGTGTCAGTCGCTGGGCCAGAAAGGGAGTCCTCACCAGGCACCGAATCTGCTGGCACCTTGATCTTGGGCTTCCTGCCTCCAGAACTGAGAAATGAATTTCCATGGTTTAAAGGCAGCCAGTCTGTAGCATTTTGTTAGGGCAGCCTGAGAAGGCGAAGATAGGCAATAATGTATCTTTACTATTGTGCAATAATGTATCCTTAAGGCCTTTCTAATTGTATGTTACTGCAATAGGAGGAAACATAATATCCAAATTAATCCCAAATACTCACCCTCCTGGCTGAGGGGGCAGAGGAGGTGTTCTGAGCTGGTGCTGGTCTCTGCTCCGTGATACGGCCCTTGCTTTCTGAGTTGGAATGGTTGACAATGGCCTCTGGCTTCCGATCTGCCATTTAAGACATGGGAAGCACAAGTGTATGTGTGAAAATCTTGTCTCTGTGTATCTACTTTCCTGCTAACAAAACAGATTTTACCCATTACCCAGACAGACTAGGGCTGTATACGCTTGACCTCAAAGTGATAAAATCTCTAGCACCTGTTCCTGGAAGACAATAAACTCAACTAAAACCTTCATTGTGGGCCCCGCTATGGCTGAGCTCAGGAACACAACTCCACTGTACACTCGATGCCAGCCTCCCCTCTGATGGTTCTCCCCGCTGGACCGACAGAGGAGGCAGCCACCAAGTATGCCTCTGTGAGACCCACCTCCTCTGCCTTGCCCAGGACCTGAGGTCGGAACGGGTGGCCCTTCACACAGGACTTCTTTGCACACCTTGTCCTGTGGCTACAGGACAACTGTTCTAACTCAGCTCATTGTTTTTACCTCCAAGTTCTCCCTAGCAATTTAACATGTCATTTCTGAAAACAGACTTGGTGCTCTCTTCGAGGCCTCTGAGGCCTCAGGAGCTCTGAGGGGCAGTGTGTGCCTCACATGGGGAACACAGGACCTGTGCAGGAACATCTGCATTACCTGCCTCCTTCTCAGTTTCGGACTCAGACGCTTCGTCTTCACCCTCCTCCTCCGAGCTAGAGCTGCTGGATTCCTTGTTTTCTTCCTCCGCTTCATGGGACTTGGGTGTCTCCTCCTCATAGAGCATCTTCTCTTTGCTAAATTAAAGAAGACAGTTTGAGCATCCTTAAAAATGACAACCATTTCTTAAGTGCGTTGACAGTCGGGCATCAGAAGAACGTGTCTATGAGCCTGTGTCGCAGCTATAATGGAAACGTATTCAAATCTTCTCTGTATCTGTGCCCCTAAGTCCCTGCTTCACACACTGAGGCTCACTGTTTGCCTATGGAGGGTGACTTTAGGAGCTTTGGCCTGTTCATACAGGAAAAAAGGCCATGGGTCTTGGTGCTGATGGAGCAGGTGAATATAAATCATGTAACGGCATTTACTGAGGGTTTATGACACGCCAGGGATCCTGCAGGCACTGGGTGGTGGTCCCTGAGCTCGTGGAACGTCCTGATGCGGAGGCGGCTGGGACCCAGGACCCCTCATCTGGGAATAAGAAATGCTGCCCAATGTCCATTCCTAAACTTAAAATACCCCCATCCAGTGTCTCCCCATGTATCAACACCCCTCCCTGCCCTCAAATGTCCCCACACGTTCAAAGATCATTTGGCTAAAATCAAACAGTTTTCTTATTATACAAATCCTCATGCTAAGTGTGTCACACGCATGTGCCCCCAACTTCTTACTTCTTAAAGAGTCCACTTTGCAACCTGCTGTTCAGGTCTGACTCAATGAGCTTATTCCGCGTCTCTTTTTCACTTCGAAGCTGGAAAGTGAGAAAAAAGGCAAGAGGCTGACCCTTGGTAAAAATCAGCAGAGATGAGAACTCGAAATGGTCCTGTCATTCTGGAGAAGACAAGGCCATCACCAAAGAGGAGGAAAGAACTCTGAACAAACCACATTTATTTTCTAGACGCAAGGCTAACTGTTGTTTTAACTTTTAGCTGATTGAAGGCTTTCTCACAACGAGCAAACTTCAGCCACAGTTCTGGGGTATTTCCTTCCAACAGACTGCTGGCAGCGCCCGGGGGCACAAGTGCCAGCTCTGGAATGCAGACAGGACTACAGCAGGTGACGGAGATGCCTGGTGTGGGCTGAGACTGTCTGGTAGCTCTCAAGCACCCCACGGACTCTCAAGCACCCCAGGACTCTCAAGCACCCCACAACTCACCACACTCTGCTTCTTCTGCAGCATCTCCAGGTGCTCCACAAGGCCCTCGTCAGCCACGTCAAATGGGGTCTGGCCCTGGCAGAGAGAGGGCACCGTGACCACGAGAAAACGCCAGCCCCTATCAGAGCGATCTCCAGAGTTCACTCCCTGCCTGATTCCAGAGACAGCCGCTTCCCTCTCAGAGGGGCTCTATGTGGTGACAAGGCCTACGTTGTCTATCACAGAGAAATGGCAAACCCTTACAGAGAGATCTGTAGTTTGTGAAAACAGTACTGGGGAAATGACCACGCCATTCGAACACCATTGCCTCTCACCTAGACCTGCTCCTAAATGGTCTAACTGCTGCCATAAACTCGACAGACGCTCTCAAAGCCTCAGGAGGACCAGGGCACAGACGCGCTGGTCGCCATGAGACCGGCTCCTCAAAGAGAAGGGCCGTCTCCCCCATGAAACAGCAGCACAGTTGAGGACCCGGGCCCGTTATCACAGGACAGACCCCAATCAGGAGAGGTGGGAGGCAGATAAGAACACACACATTAAAGGGCCGTGTCTCTGGATTCCTAGAAAATTCCTCAAGTTCGGCAGTTGTAGGAAGTGAATAACACGATTTCAACCAAACTCAAGGATCCTTGTCATTACAGCATTTTAAATTACTAAATAGGAAGGGAGTCCAGCTATTAAAATCTTTGAATAAAAATAAAGTAAGATAAACTCCCCCACACCTCACCATAGACGGTGAGGCCCCCCTGTGCTCACCTTGCCAAGGGCAAATACCTTTACCCTGCTTGCTTGTTTTAGGGGCTTCAACATCAGCAGAGTCAGAAGGCTAGGTGGGCGGAGCTTTGTTCACACAACAACCCCTCTGTGTTGATAACGGCACAGGGACAGACCCACAGCTACAGTGGTGTGTCTCCCACGTCCCTGGACAGTGAGCCTGGCCGTCTCAGACTCCACACCTTCTGTCCAAGCCCAGCACAGTCCCGTGGCTCACCAGCTTGTTCCTGACGTCCATGTCACAGAGGGCCTCTGCCAGGATGGAGCAAGCCTCCTTCACCCCCCAGTGTGCAGCGGCATGGAGGGGCGTCCAGCCGTCATGGTCCTGCACGTCCAGGTCATAGCCAGCCTGAATTAACAGTCTAAGAAAAAACCCCAAACAGGCCATTTATATACTCTTTTTCAGTTTCTTGCCCAGCACCCTGCCACCTAACAGAAGCATAGGGGACTCAGTTACCCCTGCTCTAAGGCACAACTCAGGTCCCAGTTACATTAAGGCCCGATCACAGGCAACACTGACCCACCCCCGAAGGCCACACAGGAACCCAAGGCACACTGTGTTCTGCCTACAGGTGCTCGGAGCACCTGAGTGTGACTGAAGCCTAATCCGACTACCAAAGCCCATGGCTCGACACCGGGGTGTTTTCTGTCTCTTAGTGCAGGCGGGAGGTGGCCCCTCAAATGAGAATTAAGTTCTTGTCAGGGCACTTCACTTACTGGCTTTCTGGATAGTCCTCCCGGGACAGCCCGTGCTCAACGCAGACCCTCACACTCCAACTTTGCCCAAACGTCTGCAGGGCTGTTGTGAACCACAGGCTTTAATCTACGAGTGCCTGCAGCAGGAATGGCCTGACCCCTGAGGAGACGGCAGTCACCTACATCGTGGGCTCCAGACACGTCCCGGGGGAGCCGGGCATGACTGCCCTGCAGCCAGAAACCCCGGGCAGTGAAAGCCGACGCCCTGCAGTCTGGCCGCACCGAGAGCCACGTGGAGCCGCGTGGATTCGAGGAAGCAGAAGGGGAGGAGGCAGCAGAACCCAAACCCCGTTGCCCAGGTGGCCATCGACTCCAGCTGGACATTCATACTCCAGACCCCTGTCCCTGACTAGCGAGCCCAGGGAGACTGTCCAAAGAGGACCAACCACCACTGATGTGTGCTGGGCAACGTGCCCCAGAGGAAGAGGCCACAGGGCTGTCAGCACCCACCCCTGGAGTTGGAGAGGCCCTGTAGGGTCACCTTCTCAGCCAGTGCACCATGACACCTGCCAGGGACAAGCTGGAGGGACAGCAGGGGCTAGAGGGCGTCCTGGGAGGAACACCAGAAAACTAAGAAAAGATGGCGTGGTCAGAGGGGAAATGCAAAGAAACACACCACACTGAAAATCGACTTCAGTCCCTGCTTCCAAGGCCTGTCTCATTTCGTCCCCACCTCTCGACCTCGGTCGATGCAGATGACACACCTGAGGACCTCGGAGTAGCCCTTGGCAGCAGCCACATGTAGGGCGGTGGCCCCAGAGCGAGCCTGCCTGGTGTCCTCGATCTTCCCGCTGTTGAGCCACTGCCTGGAGTCCTGAAGCATCTGCTGCTCCTCCTCCTTCCGCGCCTGCTCAAGGTCGACCCCTGTGGGAGCCACACACGGACGCCAGCGTTACCGCCCATGCAACCCGAGACTCGAACCACTTCTGTTCACAGCCACAGCACTTAGACATCAGTTGTTTCCCCGATGTCAGCGTCTCAGGGGTGTGTGATGGCAGGTCCACTAGGGACACACCCAAAAGGGTTTCCAAGTCTAAGAACACAAAGACCAAAGGGCCGTTACACTTGTATCACCACTGCTGTTCAAAGCCGTCCACTCCAAAGTCCTCTTCCAGGTCGTAGCGTTCGTTTTCCAACAATCCTCTGACGTAAAAATAATAAACACCACATCCCCAGGTACAGACGAGGAAACAGACACAGAAAGGCCACAAGACACATTCGAGCTGCCGCATGAACTCTGGCAGCCTCGGTCTGGGTGGGACACTCAGCATCCACTCTTCAGTTCGACAGGGCACAAAACCACACGAGGGAAGGCAGTGGAAACAAGCATTTACTGCCCTAGAACAGGGGTCGCCTTATCTTCCGTAAGGGCCAGGCATGGACATTCTGTTCTGGCTCGTCTGCAAACACGTGGCCATAGCCAAGCTGGCCTCTCCTGACGGCCACACCCTCGGAATGAGCGCAGGTCCTGGTCCAGGCAGTTTAACAGAAAGACGAACCATCACCACTGATCACAACTACAAAACTCTGTGCCCATCCTGGCAGACTTCTGAAGCCCCGTGTCCCTGCTGTCTGACGAGGGTCGCTGGATGTCGGGGACTGGCGACTAACACTGCGCACGCGGGACAGCGGCGGCTTGCTGTGGTGCTGTGTCTGAGTCCCCCTGGCAGCTCGACCCCCGGGTTACCTTGCTTCTTCACTTGCTCCAGAAGGAGGTCCTTCATGGCAGGCTCTTCCGCAAGGTCGGAGGGGACTTCCCCTTCGCTATTGACAATGCTCACGCTGGCTCCATGGCTAAGGAAGTACCTGTGCAGACGAGACCAGAGTCAACACTATGTCGCTCCAATGCATTTACACTCATGCGCCTGAGACTCGATGCAGAGCAAGGCCAGTTCAGGAAACTGAGGCTCACAGGTGTTGAGTGATTGTCTCAGAGTCACAGCAGCAGCAAGCGGCCGAGGCTATGGCCCCAGTCTTATGACTTCATGTTTAGTTCTTCTTTTCACAAGATCAGCGAGAATCCCAATAATGCTAGGAGCTCTATCAAATGCTCGGAAGTGTTTAAGGAGAAAAAAACCACTTAAGTTAGACTTCTACCCTTCAACAGTTCAGTGAACATTTTTTGGTCCCCTATAGGCTTAAGGTGCCACATTTTAGACACTGCAGGAGATTTTTAAAAAGACAAGATATGGTCACTGCATCCAAAGAGCTGGTGGAAGAGAAAGAATCAGCCAAGGCTGGATGTGGAGCCTCGACGGGGCTTCCACAATGCAGACCAGCAGCATGCGTGGTCTCCTTCCTTCCCCTTCCAGCCTCGAGGAAGAACAACACCCCTCCACCTGTACTACTTCTTCACAGCCCAGCTCTCGTCACTGACCCCTCTTTCCTGCATACACCAGAGCTCCTCTCCTTCACCCCCAGAAAGGCTCAACCCCCTTGGGAAAAAAATGCAAATGGTACGCCCACTCCATAAACACTCTGATTGAACTGCACTCTGCGCTCAGCAGACAGAACCACACACGCCCACTCAGACACCTCAGCTTGAGCCCTTTCCTCGACTGGATGAGACACCCTCCCCTCCTCCTCTCCCTTCTAGAAACTCTTCATGGCTTTCAAGTCCACTTAAAAGGCCTTGCCTTCCTGAAGCCTTTGCTAGTCTTACCACCTGAATTTTCTCCCTGCTTCCTGCAGTTCCTCCTCCTGCCCCCCCCCCCCGGGACTCTAGGCTCTCATGACAGACACTGTGGGTACCACCGCAGTGTCTTCATCACCGTGGTCCCTGCCACGGCACCTGACCCCTTCTTCCTGTGGCCTCCGCAGCGGAAAACAAAGGACAATCTCGACCTCTGCTTGGCATCTCTCCCTCCCTGGACCAGGAGAGTCACCTGGGTATCTGGGCCCTGCTTTGCCTTTGCTGACCTGTCTGTAGGCCCGTGGCTCAGAGGACTCATTTCTAGAACATACTCCGGATTGCCACAAACCAGGAAGAGATTATTGTTAAGTAGAGCTACCTTCCCAAACCATTTTTAGAATAAAAAGTAAAAAAACCTCTTTAGTTTCACACTTACCCCTGAATGAGAATAAATATCAACCTATGAAGTAATATTTACTTTACCCCTGAGAATCCTTATAAGTTACCCAGAGGCTCAGAAATACCTACTATCTCAATAAATATTTCCCTTAGAAAATAAAGCCTCCTATCCATCCTAGCTCATCACTGATAGAAGGTCTTTTTGCTACTCTCCCAAGGGAGGGAGAAAGAATATGAAATGTGTTTAAAAACAACAACAACTCAGAATTAATTAGCACCCCAACGAACCTGTGGGTTTAGCAGCTACGTAAAACACAGTACCAATTATTCCTTAAAAATTAAGCCCACTTCCTGCTTTTATGATCTGTCACAGAGAGGGCTGTGACCATTCACGAAACCGCAGCCCTTCAGAGCAGAGGAGGACTCACTCTGCGATGTTGAGGTGGCCGCAGGACGCTGCCGCGTGCAGAGGCGTCCAGCCCTCATTGTCCTGCTGGTTCACGTCGGCTCTGTTCTCCACCAGGAACTTCACCATCTCAAAGTTCTCATCGATGCAGGCCTGCAAAGAGAAGTCCATGCATTCACTTACTGACCTCTGCCGCAGGCCAGACCCTGTGCCAGGTGCCGACGGCACAGCAGTTCAGCGGCACTCTTTTCCAATTTCTGCACGAAGCTGTCCGAGTGAGCATGACTTCTCAGCTCTGTGATCTGGTGTGAAGCCCTGAACCACCCCATGCCTCACGACCCCACTGGGAAACAGGTGTAAGGCACTGAGCCTCATCCACGCAGCCAGCAGGACTGACTGGAGGTGGTTCTCGAGTGAGCTGTCACATCGCCATGTCATAAAAACAGGTCATGTTGCAATCCACAAATTTGCTTATGAATTTTAAAAGAAAAGAGTCACAGAGGTCCAGACCAGCTCCTCCGTGGGAAGCTTGGCCACAAATGCAGGGCTGCCAAGCAAGCACTGCTGTGTGAGAAAGGGCGAGGCACACTTCAGACAGAAGGGATGCATTTCTCATGTGTTTTCTGAAGAGCTTCAAACAATATGGCAAAACCTGTCTGCAGTTCTGGGCAGCCAAGGACCTCTAGCTGCCCGTCTCACAGCACACTTAGGGGCACGCAGAGGGGCTGTCGGAACCGAGGCCTCACAGACGGGGCTGTCCTAACACATCTACAGACGGGGAGCAGCCACGTGGACCCAGATCATTGCTGACAAGCCTTAGGTGGGAGCATTCAGGACACAGAAACAAATGAGGCTCTTTTCTTTTCAAACCTGGCATTTAATCCCCTCCTTAAAAACAGGAAGTTAAAACTTTAGCTGAGAAACAAGCATGTAGATCAAAGTGATTTTTGTAATGACCTTAAGACGATCTGCCCTCTTGCCGGCTGACCCCCGCACTAACTGACCGTCGCACCAGCCACAGCAGCGCTGCTCAGCCAGCCAGCTCCCCCAATGACAGTGCAACGTGCTCGTGTCATTAACCCTCAGTCCTTGTCTGCAGTCTTTCCAGCGCTGTGTGACCAAATGGGAAGGCCACGCACAGCATCTGGGCCGCAGCCGAGCGGCGCCGCTGCCGAGCGGTGCCGCTGCTGGGAGAGAGCACACGCCTCTGTGGCCTGCGGGAAAAACTAGCCACTCTTTTCATAGGATGTTATTTTTACTCAAACAACTGACAGACAAATTATGATCAAGACCTGAAAGTAAACAAAATGAGCCTATCAGTTTAAATAAAATAACTACTATGTTTTGCCAATAATAAAATGTGACCCTTCCAGTGAAACTTGAATTCTAGGAAACATCCACAACCACCAGCTGGGCTTCCTAACACGCACACTTCTGTGAGACCAGCGGCGGCCACGCCTAGGACTTGTTGACCTTGTACAATGGAGTGTATGTACCTGGAAGACCAGCACAACCCAGTGAATCCATTATTTCCAAAAATCAAATGCATGATGCTAGAAAATTGTGCACGGGTAAAAGCTTCATTCAAAGTGCAATTCAGACCTCTGAATTTTTTTTTTTAATCCTCACCCGAGGACATTTTTCCATTTTTTGTTCAGATAGAGTGGGAGGGAGAGAGAGGGAGAGAGAGAGAGAGAGAAACATCGATGTGAAAGGGACACATCGAGTGGCTGCCTCCCGCACGACCCAACCAGAGCCGGGACAAACTGCAACCAAGGTACATGCCCTTAGCGGGAACTGAACCCGGGTCTCTCTGGAACGCAGGCCAATGCTCTAACTGCTGAGCCAAACTGGCCAGGGCCAGACCTCTGGATTTTAATGTCACAAAGTGAGAAGAGTCCACACCATGGTCTCAGATTCCACATGGCCACTAGCAGGTGAGAAACTACCACTTCAGGCACTTGGGTCTAGCGTGCAAGGAGAACCCACAATTGCCTGAGCAGGCAATTGAATACGCCCCCCTTTATAGCTCCCAGATCTGTAGCTATGTGAGCCCAGATTTTCTTTATATACTTTAATCAAAACAATATATCACAACAGATCAAATCCAGACATTAAAAGAGATTTATAAAACCGTAAAACAATGCCACTTTTATCATTATTTTTTTATTTTTGAAAGTATATAGTTATTTCAATTAAAATATGTGATTTCTACTAACATGCAATACGTTATTGCTATTTTAAATGAATTAATGAGTATTTTTAGGATTTCTCAGTAATATATAATAACCCATATGAACAAATGTTCTTTGAGGTCCTGACTAAATTTTTAGAGTGTACAGAAATTCTGAGAACACAGTTTGAGAATCAATGTCCTCGATTAAACATACCAAGGGGTATTTTATGGTGATACTGAGCAACTGTTTACACAGCAAACGATTAATGTGGTGAGATTCAAGTTAGAACACCGGAGACCTCTGTGGCTGGATTTTACCAGGAGAACTTATGGGAACTCCCCCGAGGTAAACCTCACGTCCGTCCTGCCCAACAGAGGGATGGATGGACATTTAACGAGGTAACCCTGGTCACAAACAGCATCTCTGCTCATTTCCCAAACCATCTGACTTGGGCAATGACTGTCTACTACGCACAGCAGCCTGCACGGGCTTCGTGACGACGCTCTCCACACCTGACCTGAGGCCCGTCCTAAAACCGACGGCCTTTTCCAGTAAGCAGCTCCCGTGTTGCACTGCTTCTCAATGTTTCCTTAGGTCTGTCACCTCTGACAGGCACTCCCCATTAACTCCTTACTTTCTGACCACGCAAAGTATTTCATAACTGTGCTTATCACCGAATTCCTCGTTAACTGCACGCCTGCCACAGGGGAAGGGTTAGACACCTCGCTGCAGAGCGCCTCGATAAAAACTGCCCAGAAAGACTTTCAAGTGAAGGGATGCTGGGGATACTTTGCAAAAAGGCACTTAAGTTCAAGGAGAAGGACGTGTTCCAGAGGGTGAGCACACTGTGCCAGGCAATAATAAACTCCCACGTCAAGGCAGCCGAATGTGCTGCCGGAACCTGCGCTGCGCAGTGGTGGCTGCTGCTGGCCTGGCCGCAAGTCTCCTCTGGCTCAGAGAGAAGGACGTCTCCAGGCTCATCTGCAGCGGCCGTGCCGCCAGCAGGCGGGATTCTGGGAGCCGTTGTTTCCAGGACCGGTCTCTGCCCTCTGAAGACGCCAAGAGCCAAGTGCCAAGAGCCTACATGAGCGTGTGTGTCGCAGGAGAAGAGGCTCTCTCTTCCTTCTGTCTCCTCCCCCAGCACTTGAGCTCTCCTCCTTCCCAGCTCATGATCTTGGGTCTGTGAACATAAAATCCTTGACCCAGTATGTTTGTAAGGAGGACGCTGAGGCGTTTCAGAGAATGACCACAAGCGGCCTGATCTGCAAGGTATGGAACATGTCAGCCTCCAGAATCATCTCAGACAGTACGGAGGCCAACTGTTGGATCACCCCCAGACCCTCCAAAGTGAAGGGCAGCTCACTGTCCAGTATCAGCTCGGGGGCAGAAAGACCCGGCCTTGCGTCCAGCTCTGCCAATGTGCGTCTCTCTGGAGGGAGGTGGAGAAGCTGAGGGCCATGCACTTGTCTAGAGCATGGGAACACCACTTGCCTTACAGGATTGTGTGAGGACGAAGGGAACTAAATAGTGAAACAGTGGAACAGTGGCTGGCATTGCTTTTAAGCCAATAGCCTAACGAATAGCAACTCCCCAGGAAAAAGTACAAATTATACTTATCCTCACCCGTCACTGCCATCCACCACCTTAGTATCTTATGGGAGGGAGGCAGCTGACTAAAAATGTCTCTGAACAAGCAAGACTGTAGGGTGTGTTTATTAAGTCTGACCTCAGGAACTTCCCTCAAGTGTCCAGTATCCTGCGGGATCCTAGAGAACCATCCTTGGAAAGACCCATCGACAGAAATGGCTTGGAGTGACCGGTCATTCATGTTTTCTCCTTTCCTGCTGCCTTCAGAAGGAACAGGCTGAAGCCACGAGGGAGAGGCATGTCCCTGAAAACCGCAGTGAATGACGACTGCATTTAGACACACTCTGTTCACCCACCTCGGCTGTGCGGACTCACCCATGAGGGCAGGCTGGTGGTCCACAGCTTCTTCTAAGCACCGTGTCCGGGGCCGTGGACCCCAGCACCTGCCTCCATGCAGAGCTATACTGACTACACAGATGACTGGGTCTTTTCTTTCCCTGAACAGGCAAAGGAGGCTAAATATTTTTTCTGACGTTCCTCAGGACATCAATGGGAAAATTATTCTTTACATTTAACCCAATTCCTTCTCCTATGGTTCATGTCCATTTCCTTCTATTGTGCATTCTGAAGACATAGAATATTACTAAAGTAGCCACTTGTTCTAAGCTATTTAAGGGATGTTTTGTTGTTATTTAATTAGTTATTAGTCCAGAGAGTACTAGGAACATTGTAGGTAACAGTCTGAGGCTTCCTAAAACGAGCATGTTACATTTCCCTGGTAACGACAAGCCATCTCCAAGGAAAACACTTCATCTTAGCAAACACATGGGGGGCCAGTGCAATGAGCTGCCTATCATAAGGATACTGCTCTCCGTATCAAAGGCAAAAGTGGCTGATGGCTGATGGGTGCCAGAGTTCAATCTGGGACTACAGAGAAGGCCTTACAACACAAAGCCTCCTCCGCTCCCAAAATAGCCTGCAACTGTCACCGCCACTGAGTGCCAGCAGCTCCAGAAGCTGACCTTGCTGCTATTTCTCAGAATCCTGCTGCGACTCCCTTCCCCACAAAGCCCAGCTCCAGGTGCCAGGACAGGTGACACACCTAGTTGTCTGTATATTTCAGCCCACACTTGCCTGGATTTCAGTGAATCACACCAACATAAGAGCTGGGTGGCGATGATGCTGGTGATGAATCCCTGTTCCACACCTTCCACTGCTCTGTCCTGTGTCCTCCTAAAATTTATGTAACTCAAAAATCACAACATATGTAACTTCTATAGCTTAAAATTTATATAATCCCCTAAATTATATAATTTCAACTTTATGTTGAAAATTCTAAACACTTGGAAAACAGCAAAGACCCCGATTTCTTTTGTTTATCAGCCACAC